TATCGTTGTATTGCGGCCGTATGTCTTTCAATGCTCGGCTCAAACGCATCAATTGCGTTCGATACCGATCGCCTGTGATTGTTTCAGTCGGTTTTAACAGTTAATATACTACGCCGAGCTGGTCCTATCAAATACAGAGCATAACCTTGGACGTCAAAATCACCGTTCTTGAAGCGTTGAAACTACTCACGACACGTTCTTTCACTAATAGCTTCACCATAAGTATTTGAGAGAATTCGATGAGCCTCAGCTGCAGATTTCTTCATATTGAAGCAAAAAATTAAAACCTCCCGCAAATGACGAGAATTTGGCTCATAAACTGACATTTTCAATCAAGAATAACTTTATGATGCAGACACAAATCGACTAATGTTTCTATGAGGTTATGTTGACAGATGCCCAAGTTTATTGTATGATACGTCTATTTATTTCGACCACCACTTACCGCTAAAGCCATCTATAGGAAAACGGCGGAAGCAAAGTTGTGTATTCATTTTTCTTAATATATATATATATATATATATATATATATATACACATAAAATATATACACGGTTTAGTTACCTAAAACTTTGTGGCAGTTGTTAGAAATAAAGTAACGATAAAAGTAATTAGTGAAATCGTTACCATTACCTCAAAAATGTAACTGCGTTACAATGAACGTTACTCAAAAAAAAATGTAACATCGTTACCCATTCGTTACTGAAAAAAGTTACTTGTAACGGTAATTTGTAACGTTACAAATAACGCATTACTTGCCAACCCTACTCAATAGTCAACTTTAACCATTAATCTCAGTTTACTGAGCAGAGCGACATTTATTTTTCTGCTAGATTCGTTTGTTTCATACAAAAATGTATTGAATGATTCTAAATTCATCACAATCAGTGAGTATCATCAAGATTGGCTCGTCTTGCACAATTACAAAAAAAGTAACGAAAAATAATGATTTCGTTGCTTTTAAATAACGGTAATGCGTTACTTTTTAGATAACAAGTAATGGCAAGAAGTTACTTTTTATCGCAAATGACGGTAATAATAACGCGTTACTTTTAAAAAGTAACTTTCCCAACCCTGATATATAAATACGTATAAATACGAAGAAATGTAAAAAAATTATTTATGAATATATAATTATATATAAAATTATGCATAATTATATATGAGCAATTTTTTTTACAATTTTCCAAACTTGTTTTTTTTTTCTAAAACGAACAATGCGAAAATTATCCTTTTAATTATTTTTTATGTTTTCACATTACTATTATTATCTCTATTACTAAAAAGTAATTTTACAAAAGAAAGAAGGATATATGAAATATATGAACATATTTCATATAATTATACATATTTATGAATATTTATACTTATTTATGTATGTTTATACATATTTATACATATTCATGCATGACAATTTTTTTATCGAGAGATTACGTGGATTTTGGGCGCATGTAACATGAATCTTGTAAAAATATATAACTGGAATATCATTATGAAAATATTACAAGAATATTATTGGAATTTTGATTTGTTGTTTGTATCCCAATAAATAAAATGGAATGAGAGCAAGAAGTTGAATGAGATTTAAAAGAATTCATTTTGGCTAAAAATCCTTTTTATTATTATTTTACAAATTGAATAACGGTTTCTCAACTAAATCAAACTTAATTTGGGAAAGGAGCATAAAAAGCTTACTCCACTTATTATAGAGAAATTATAATTTATCAATTAAGATAATGATAATATACATTTCGACCTTTTATTTAGTCAAATTCAGTAACAAATTTTTAAATTTTTCTTAATTCTTTTTTATTTCTTATTCAATGAATCCAGTTCTGTTCATTTATTAATTCCATTTTATTTACTAGGATAATCGATATTTTATTACTTTGGAGCGATCATGTAAAAAATTATTTTTTAAGAGTATCTTATTAGGCTAAATTAGCAATCTTTCCTTGCGATATAAATTATCGTGTATCGATTGATGCTAGATTCCTGCACCAACTTGAAAGATAAATTATTTCGTAACTATATGTTTTTTAAGACTGATACATGGTCTGTAACACATTAGAAACATACATAATTAATACCATATTCTTGGATCCTGTAAAAAAATTATTTTTTAAGAGTTTCTTATAAAATTTAAGAGTTTCTTATAAAATTAAGACAAGAGGTTTTCATTGCTATATAAATCGTATATGATTCATTCCAAATTCCTAAAGTCATTAAAGATTACTAGAGATCGATTCTGTATCTTGAAACGAGGTAAAAATTACAAAAGTAAGCGGCTTACTAAAATACTGATAATTTCATTGGTCAACATCTAGTAAATTTGCTCATTTTTGTAATTTTCACTTTGTTCGAAGATACAGAATCGATCCCTTGATGAGATTCATGAACAAATTATATAAGATTTTTATATCATGTACGTTCATTTAGTAATCTTCATCACATGCAACTCTTTTAAAATCTGGTTCAAAAAACTTACAAGAATTTTTAACAGGACTATCATAAAAGTAGCCTTAAAAAATT